GAGAGGAGGGGAGATGGGAGGGATGGGGAGGGGAGGGGAGGATTTGAATATTGTGTTGTGTGTATGAGTAAAATCTTACGAATAGAGATTTCTTGATTTGCCATCTTATTAAAAGGTATATTATATTTTATATATTTGATTGCAATTTTATACCTAGATAGGTAAGGACTCACTCACTGATGATAAATTTATCTGATTGGGTTAAAAAAAAAGGTACAATAATACCGGTACCTCAATTTGTCGATATCTTTTGGCTCGTCCCATCTTGGCGTTCTCGGTTCAGTAAAACTACGTCATAGATTTACAGGGTTATTTATATACTATAGGTACTAGGTAGTTTATTATTGAATGTTATAGTTAAAGTAGTGAACTTGAAGGAAGTCATTAAGTATTAAGCAATCAAATCTGAGGGTACAGTACTTGCATCTCAATTAAAAGCAAAACAATTAATTACAGATTTATATAAATAATACTTTCGATATACAATAGAAATATCAAATCTTCTAAGCCTTGGCCTGAACTCAACGTCCCATCAAGAGTGTTTCACCCGGGGAACCTTGTATAGTAAGTTGTTACCGATGCCCCCCTTCCCTTATTGTACGGGCCGACTCTTCCGCTTAGATTTTGTACATTATAGAAGGAAAGAAGGAAGTGCAGGGATGAATGACGTAGGTAGTCTCGGGAGCGATGTGTGAGGGGTCCTTTTATATATCATATATCATATATCATATTTATATTCTTTTTCTCTCTCGGAATAAATTCGAAACTGTCTTTCTATTCTCTCCTTTTTCCTTTTTCTCAAGCATGTATTTTGAAACTTAATCTTATATAAAATTCAGGGGCTATATTATACAAATGCTTTGTTTCTTCTACTCGAGTAGATTCGAAAATCCAATTGAGCTTTGTTATTCATGGAAGTCCCACATATTCAAATTCTATCTTCCTGTCCTTATCTATACATATATTACTGGTCACATATTCATCATTTGTTGCATATCTAGGTCTCGGATGCTTGCTTTCATACCCTTCAAATTTCAAAAGTTCAAGGGAGCCACCGGACCATCTTTTCTGAAAATATGCCGAGGCTTGCATTGCAATCGCTTGACCCCTGTTGCTCAATTTAGTAATTTAGTCACATGAAAGATCTTATCTCATCTTATCTCCGATCACATCTCTTATCTAGAAACGACTTCCCTTTTGAGATTTTGAATTGTTTTGAATTGTGTAGGTGAACTAGAACCCCGCACTCAATCAAAGGATGGCTTCAACCGGACGTTCATTGAGATCTCTCACATTAAAATCATTGAATCGTTGTTCAATAAGCAAGTTCTAATGTCAGTCTTGTAAGATAAATACCAATTGCTAAGCTTTATTCAAAGACAACACACGACCCTTCTTCATCCCATTTATATTCCTCGCGCCAATCCCTAGCAATCGATTTACCCTCGCATTCTCCAGTATGGCAGCTAAAGGACAGTCTTTAGGAACAGATGATTTAAAAGGTCTAGGTGGAACGACTGATTTATCGCCAACTCCAGAATCGCATCATGAAATCAATGCTTGGTCTGGTCCGGGTCAAGCAGCATTTGATTTCCGCAGTAAGTGTCTCATTCAAGTCCCTCAGAATATTTACTGATATCTTTGTTAGGCGATGTCGTAACTACTCCCACCAAATCCATGCTAACAGCCATCCAAAACACTACCCTTTTCGACGATGTCTTTGCCGAAGACCCTACGACCAATTCACTTGAATCCTACCTTGCTCAACTCACCGAGCATGAGTCTGCCATTTTTGTCCTGTCTGGTACCATGGGTAACCAAATTGCCCTTCGTTCCCATCTCATCCAACCTCCCTACTCCGTTCTCTGCGATCATCGCGCTCATATACTCGAATGGGAAGCGGGCGGTACTGCATCCTTATGCGGGGCTCTCGTCAAGGGTGTTGTACCTAGCAATGGAGTATACTTAACTCTAAAGGATGTGGAGAAACATGTTACACTTAGTGAAGATATACATTGTTGCCCAACGAGGGTTATAAGTTTGGAAAATACACTGGCGGGTACGATAATGCCACTGGATGAGGTCAAGGCTATTGCGGGATTCGCGAGGAAACATGGTATCAAACTACACATGGACGGAGCTAGAATCTGGGAAGCGGTTGTTGCCGGAGCAGGATCCTTAACGGATTTCACGAGAGAATGTGATAGTGTGAGTTTATGTTTTAGTAAGGGATTGGGAGCGCCAGTGGGTAGCATGCTAGTGGGCCAGAAGGATTTCATCAAGCATGCTCGATGGGTACGGAAGAGCATTGGAGGCGGACTACGCCAAGCTGGTGTTTTGACCGCGGCTGCGAGAGTCGCGGTCGATGAAACATTTGGAAAAGGTCCAAATGGAGAAGGTGGTCTCTTGCGCGAAAGTCACAAAACAGCCAAGAAAATCGCGGCATTATGGGAAGGTCTAGGTGGAAAATTGCAGCAACCCACGGAAACCAACATGGTGTGGTTGGATCTAGAAGATGTGGGGATTTCGACGGAAGAGTTTAGGGAGTTGGGGGAGGAAAGGGGATTGAAGCTTTATGCTGGGAGATTAGTGGTGCATTATCAGATCGGGGAGGAGGCCGTGGCGAAGTTGGGGGAGATTATGAAGGTTGTTTTGGAGAAAAAGGGGAAGGGGGACATTGAGGTGGCCAATAAGCGGAGGAAGATTGGGGAAAAGGATTATGGGACCTGAGGTAAAGGTTTTGGCTGTGACATATATTGAGAAATCTTTGGAGGTTAGGCAGGTACTATCCTCATATATTGATATGATTCTCAGGGTATTATACAGTCGCTGAAATATATACATAGGATAGCAGTTGAGTTGAGCTAAGGTGGAATCTAGAAGTGGTAGATAAGATAAGACAAAATAAGATTTCACTAGCAGTAGACCTAATGAACCCCTTATCTTCATTCCATGATTTGTGTACTTTCTGGCGGCATGAGTATGAATTTTCTTCCGACAAGTCATCCGAAAACAATTCCAAAAACTCGGCCATTATATTTACCGCGATAGCGGCTAACTGTATTCGAGACTAGCGTCATTAACACCGAAAAGCCTCGGTTCATATGAATCCTAGCAACCCGGCCAGCTGGACCAGGTTATACTATGAAAGAGAGACCTGAGGGATATTGTAGGCGGATCACTTTAAGAATACGATTCATTCACATGAAGAATCTCCGTGAGTCAAGTAGAGTCAATTGAAAGAAGACAGTTGTCAAGTGCTGGTACGACAACGGACTAGTACATATCGGCACCACACTTAAGACAAGTACTAGGTAGCTTTAACTAGCAACTCATACCGCATCATTTTACACGAGCCCCCCGAATTTAATCGATCAAGAATGCCAGTACCAGTTTCGAACAATACAATGGCACATTCTGTACAAAGTAAGAAACGGAAGAAAAGAGGTCAAGATAAGGCACCTATTTCTGCGAGATTGATTTTAGATGAGCATTTGAAAGGGCATGTGGGATTCATATCTAAGGATCTGGCAAAAGATCTGTTTCTAGCACAAAGTGGTGTACCTGCGGAAGCTGTGCAGCATATTGCAATATCTCCCTGGGGCCCTACTAAAGCAGTCGAAAACTCGACATGGACTGTTGTTCCTGTCAGGTCCTCGGACACTCTGGCACATTCCACCGTACAATTCTCACCCGACTCCCCTGCTCTACAAGCATTCGCCGAAGCCTTGCAGAGAGTTGCGCCGTCAAAGGTATCGAGCAACAGTCGAAGCGGTATTGAAATATGCGTCTTAGATATTGTGCCATTACCGTTAGAGACAGTATATGTTACAGTTGAAGGAGAATCTGCGAAGCGATTAGAAAATGGCGAGGGGACATTTCACGGGGAACATCCACAGACGAACGGACACTCGAAGTCTAGAAATGGGACAATGCCAGAGGATAAACTGACAAAGGCGATTCGGGAGGCTCTAAGATCTTTGAGAGTTGTACACACCGGGGATTATGTTCCATTACCTTTACAGCCCCATCCGATCACTCACGTTCCTCCTCCCCCAGCAAGAGTCACCCTTAGCGAGCCTGTAGGACAAGGACTGCTGTCGCCGAAAACCAGAATTATTGTCACACAGACTGGACACCATGCGAAGAGCCCACGAAAACAGACGCCAACTCCCCTGAATCGAGGGTTGAATCAAGTGACGGAAGAGGATGAGGATACAAGTAATGATCAATTCTATTCCGCTGCCGAGGACAGATATAAAACCGATACTGCTTTTGAGGAGGAATCTGATTATGTTACAGAAACAGACACTGAGCTAGAAAGCAATGCCGATAATGATAGCCTATCGGATGATTCTATGGAGGACATGATCTCGCTACAAGCACCCATGTTACCAGCTCATAACGCGAGTGGAATCTCGACAATACAGCCGGGATCCCCCCAAACAGTTGTACCCGGTGGGCGAAGGACAAATGGCATCGCTACTCCAGGTTCCGTATTTTCCTCTTTCACGACGACTACTCGGGCTGGTGGGCAAAGTGGAAGATTGTTCAAAACGCAAGGACTAGCTAGACCACTTTCCGACGAGATGCTGCACCCTAAACCCAATACTGACGATGATGATGAGGCGAGGATATTCGTTGATATAAATTCTTTAACCAAGATTGGGTGCTTTTCAGGAGATTGGGTACGGTTAGAGGCAGCCGCAGAACCTCCCACAAATGGCGTCGGTCTTTGGGGGCTGGGGAGCTTTGGAGAAGTGGAAGAAGAGAAGCCCTGGCGGCCTGTGAAGGTGTTCGGTCTGCCAGAAAGCTATTCACACCGTCCCATGACCAAAATACCGCGTAGCAAGCAGGAGGGTCGAAGACTTTCCTTTTTTGAATCACAAGTCCAGAAACCTGCGAGTCCAACGGCTTACATGTCACCTATACTTCTTGCAAATTTGGAGAACACCTCATACTGTCGCATTGCGCCTCTGAAACGAGCGCCGCAAATCATGAAGACGCCATTAGCTAAAATTACCAACTTTTCTAGCCCTCCTGCGGCAAAAGAGTTAACCCTCATGAAAATTTCAACCCCCGCTTCGAACGAGCGTACTTTGCAAACTGCCTTATTTGCTGGACTGAAAAAGCATTTCGCCGGAAGGACGAGGATCGTGAGAAAGGGCGATCTCATTGCTGTCCCAATGGATGAAAGTGTTGGCCGAGCTTTACATCAGACATCTGCATCTGAGGATCTTGCGATTGATGGCATATTGTTAAACACAACACTCACTAATATCAAATCCAGTAAATTGGCCAAGATTATTAGTGTCGCTTGGTTCAGAATAAGCTATGTTGGTTTGACGAAGGACAGCCCAGAGGGTAGCGAAGATGATGATATATGGGGAGGTGTTGCCTCGATCGATGCCTCAAATACACGAATGATGCAGTCTGGGAGTGAAAATAGTCGACTACCCGCAACCATAACGAATTCTTGGGAATATTACCTGGGACTCAAGTCGATATCCAAGAACGATCTCGAGTCCACGGCGATATCAGAAGTAAAAAGACCGCATGTCACGACTCTGCAACGACGGCTGAGAGAACTGATTGCCGCAGCTACAAGCCCTAGAGCTATACATTTAAAGTTACCGCCACTTGCAATCCTCCTTGTGTCTACGCAACGTAGCATTGGAAAAGCAACGTTAGCAGCTAAGTCTTGTGCGGACATTGGATTACATACATTCATGCTTGATGCCCATCATATCATCAGCGAAGGCGGAGCTGGAAGCGATGTCAAGACTGCTGCATTTCTGGAGGTGCGCGCCGAAAGGGCTATGAATTGCGGTCCTGAGTTCTGTGCACTTCTCATACGTCACATTGAGCACCTCACGGCTGATAGAATGGTAACTACACTGAAAGACATACAAAGTGGAACGAGAGTCATCATTGCAACTACAACAGAGGTTGACAAAATTCCAGACGGTATTCGAGGTTTGTTCACTCACGAACTCGAAATGACCGCCCCTGATGAGTGGGAGCGGGAAGGAATACTTCGTGGAATCATTGATGACCACGCGATCGCTCTTGCGCCAGATGTAGATCTCAGCTCGGTTGCTGTAAAGACTGCTGCTCTTGTGGCCGGGGACTTAGTTGATGTTGTGGAAAGAGCTCTCGAGGCACGGGACTCTCGGATAAAGGCACTCGCAGCTGCGTCCACGAACGCCGAGAAAGTTGTGACAATTCGTGATATACTCGTCTCTGGCGGTCCAGCAGGTCGCTGTCTTACTAAAATAGATTTTGAACTTGCAGTAGACGCCGCGCGCAAGAATTTTGCTGATGCTATTGGCGCACCTAAGATTCCAAATGTTGGTTGGGATGACGTAGGTGGTCTGTCAAATGTCAAAGAGGCAGTAATGGAGACCATTCAATTGCCTCTCGAGCGACCGGAATTGTTCGCAAAAGGCATGAAGAAACGGTCTGGTATTCTGTTCTACGGTCCTCCTGGTACCGGAAAGACTTTACTTGCGAAAGCTATCGCTACGGAATTCAGTCTCAACTTTTTCAGTGTCAAGGGTCCAGAGTTACTGAATATGTACATTGGTGAATCCGAGGCTAATGTTCGACGAGTCTTCCAACGTGCGCGCGATGCACGACCTTGTGTGGTTTTCTTCGACGAGCTTGATTCCGTGGCGCCTAAGAGAGGTAATCAGGGAGATAGTGGTGGAGTAATGGACCGCATTGTGTCACAATTGTTGGCTGAGTTGGACGGCATGTCTGATGGAGATGACGGTGGTGGAGGTGTGTTTGTTATTGGCGCAACAAATCGACCGGATCTCTTAGATGCAGCTTTGTTGAGACCAGGAAGATTTGACAAGATGTTGTACTTGGGAGTAAGTGATACACATGAGAAGCAGGAGACGATCTTGGAAGCGTTGACCAGAAAGTAAGTTATCTGACATTTCTCACATCGAATTACGCTGACTCGTATAGATTTACACTCTCGCCTACGCTATCCCTCTCACGCGTCGCTTCTATGCTTCCTTTTACATACACGGGGGCCGATTTTTATGCCCTTTGCTCCGATGCTATGCTCAAGGCTGTAACTCGTCAATCATCCCTTGTGGATTCGCATGTCGCTAAACTTAACTCCCAACGCGGAAGCGAGGGTAAAGGAAAGGTCTCAACAGCATATTGGTTCGACCATTATGCGAAAGAGGATGATTTGCGTGTAGTAGTACAAGAAGAAGATTTTAAAGCTGCAGGGAGGGAATTGGTTCCTAGTGTTAGCCCAGGAGAACTGGAGCATTATGCAAAAGTCAGAGGTCAATTCGAGGGTGTGAAAGAAAAGGATAAAGTTGCGCAAAGACCTGGTTCATCGGGAAGTTCAAGGAGTTCGAGAAAAGGCAAGGGAAAAGGAAGGGTAGATGTTAAAGGGAAAGGAAAGGCGAAAGATATGGGTGGGCGGGATGAAAACGCTGAGGATGGTTACTCTAATGACAGTGAAGGAGAACAACTTAATGGTACAATAAGAGCGAAGGGGAAAGGAAAGGAGCCCGTCCAGGGACTATTCCAGGATGGAAGTATGGAAGATGAAGAGAACTTATATTGAATAATGTATGGAGATGTCAAAGGATATATGTATCCACCCGGAGAAGAAAATAATATATAGTCGATAGATATACACTACAGCCAGATACCCACTCCGAGTCCCAGGGCTCTAGCTAAACTCAAATACCAACTTTCTGGGTTCAAATTAGTCCGGATAGTCTATTTCACTTGCTATAATATGTAAAACTCTTTGTAGTCAATATTGGAGTTAGATTCCTAAGATAATAAACAATCCCTGTTGATTTACTCGAGTATTTCAAGCTTCCTCTCTTTCTTTCACATGCAAGAATGCAACACCTTTATACCCACTCAATTCCAGCCAATCAAATAATCTGATGAGATCCGGTTTATGACATATGTGCACGACCCTTTGAATTGGTACTGTTGATGCAAATATCAATATCGCATCTCCAACTTCTGTTTATGCGCATTTCATTTTTCTGTCTGGGAGGCTGTTAACTATTTTATTGCTTATAACTTCTTGTTTTCTTTCACTGGATTGTAAGTATTGGCTGCTCTTCTTGCATCTGATTGGTGCTTGAATTGGATATTGCGGAAGACCGATGGATGCAAGGACAAGGGGAGATAAAAGATTGTCGAGTTCCATGATTTTAGAACCTTCACCTGGGGAACAAATACTTGAATGGGTTCAAAATCTAACTCGAAGCAATTCGAGTACGTACGATATTCCGCCATGAGCAACGGAGACGAACCTGAATCTGCATATGCGAGTCAAGCTGCGAAGCTTTCCCACGTCGAGCCCGAGGATGATGATGATAATGGGTCGGGAACGGCGATAAGAGCAGATTATATAACGCCAAGGGATACCGTGGTTGTTATGGAGGATGGAGGGCGGTTACCAGGGCCACCGTTGGTGGAGGCGGAGAGATTGAATGGACTCAGGAGGCAGGCGAGAGGAATGGGTGGTAATATGATTAGTGAGGCCGAAGGGACCGACGAGCTTGTGAGTGAGGAGAATAGGTTGGCGGCGGGCGAGGAAGGGCGGGGCTCACATCAGCATGGAGGTGATGCGCGAACATCAGGACAAGGTTCACTTCGACGAGCTATGCCACCCTCGAGAACGCATCCTTTATTCCCACCTCTACCACTCTACGGCCCTTCGTCGATTACGAGAGACTTACAGTGTTGGACATTCAAAACAACGAGTTTCTTCTTGAGCTGTGCATTCTTGGGGATCATTGTGATGGGAGCGGGATTTATGAGTGTGCCGGTCATTTGTAGGTATCTTTGGTATAAGGTTACTCTCCGGGATCCGGACAGTGGAAGGATATTCTACGAGGAAGAGAGAATGCGGAGAAGACGGAGGAGAGAAGAGGAGAGGAGTTGGAAGAAAATGAATCGTCGAAAATATTCTCATGAAAACATGGACGACAACGAAGATGAAGCGGGACAAGGAGAATTCGTACCGACAGAAGGAGGAACAGATCCACTGATTTGTGATGTGGCATATTATGCCCGAAGGGTAGGTTTGGATGTCGAAGAATTTAAAGTTCAGACAGAGGATGGGTTTATTATTGTTTTATGGCATGTATATAACCCAAACGAATATACCCCTATGTCAGCCGAACAACGTGCAGCTCGGGGCCCTGAATTGTTTACTGGTCAAAGGCCAAGCCGACCACTCCCTTTAAATACCAATCGCAAACCGAAATATCCGATCCTAATGATTCACGGGCTCTTGCAATCATCTGGTGCTTACTGCACCAATGATGACCAGTCCCTCGCATTTTACCTATGTAAACAAGGCTATGATGTCTGGCTCGGCAATAATCGATGCGGTTTCAAGCCAGAACACACCCTTCTTACCTACTCCGATCCTCGCATGTGGGCCTGGAATATCCGCCAGATGGGTGTAATGGATTTGCCAGCACTGACCTCTCGCGTTCTATCCGTAACAGGCTTTCCCAAACTTGCTCTCATCGCCCATTCCCAAGGCACAACTGAAACATTCGTCGCCCTCGCGAAAGAGCAGCGACCAGAATTGGGCGAGAAGCTATCCGTATTTTGTGCATTGGCTCCCGCCGTTTACGCAGGACCTCTCATCGGGAAAGCTTATTTCAAATTCATGCGCATGATCTCTCCTTCATTCTTTCGCATCATCTTTGGCATCCACGCTTTCATTCCTTTTATGATGACTATGCATAAGATTGTACCAGGAAGCCTTTATGGAGCTATGGGATATCATGTCTTTCACTTTCTGTTCAATTGGAGCGATGCTAGATGGGATAAGGGGACCAGAGATCGATGTTTTCAGTTTGCCCCTGTGTATGTTAGTGCCGAGAGTATGAGATGGTGGCTAGGGAGAGAGTGTTTCGCCGAACAGGAGTGCATATTAGCAACAAAGGAGGAGGGAATGCAGGAAGATGAGGAGGATAGATGGGTATGGGGCGACACACCTGATAATTTGGATAGTAACGATGAGAAGATAAAGTTGAAGTCGAAGTCGAAAGGGAACAAAGTAGTTGACGAATCATTAAGACCAGCCGAGACTGAGATGCAATCCAGAGCAGAAATAATGGAAAAGAAAAGAAAGAGGGGACTTAGAGGAAGTACAGCTTGGTACAATGAACAAGTCCCCCCTTTTGCGCTATGGGTGGCCGGATCCGATGATTTGGTTGATGGAAGGAGATTGCTGCGGAGATTCGAGAGAGGAAGAGAACCGTGTGTGAAAGTTGTGCATCAGAAAGTCATAGAAGAGTATGAGCATTTGGACGTTATCGTATGTTATCACCATCATTATTCCACGCCCCTGTTATTCCGTTCCTTTACCCTCGGACTCATATTGTCTCTGCTTATGTGTCATACCCCTCCCTAATATGCGTCGACCACTAGTGGGCAATAGACGTTCTCGACCAAGTAGGCCGAGAAGTCAAAGAAGTTATTTGGAAAACGTGTTCGGAGTCTGATCGAATCAAGTGTCGGGTTCCGTTCGGTTGCGAAGAGGTGGAAATCTGGGATGGTGGAGAGAGGTCTGGAGTTGAGGTTGAAAGAGATGGTGCTGGGAGTAGTCGGAGTCAAAGTGATAGTGATCGAGTTATCTGGAATTAGACTCGGAGCGGCAACGGAGGATAGGAACCGTGTATACGAGTAATAGAAGGAAGTCGGTGGGTTCAATGTGAAGGTGAAAGACGAGGAGATGTACGAGTAGAACGTCTCGAGCGAAGAGTCATAGTAGCGTTTTGGGTTATGGTACATGAGCTTACGAATATATACCGGACGGATTGCATCGGGTTGCATTGGGATGGATTAGATTGGATTAAATGGAGTACATAGCCTCGAGATTCGAGAACTATACCGTACCTAGAGTTTTCTTACAGCGAATACCGGTATTAGTTTATAGGCAGCGTGGCAGTTGTATAGAAAGCACAGTATGTCTTGGGTATTGATTGGTATTGGTAAATGTAAGATTATTAGATGTCATTACCTTGTACTGTACTGAGTAAATAAATGAATGAATCAATAAATAATAAACAGTAGGTTTTTATCTAGGATTTTAATTTCATCGCATCACATTATACTGAGTACAATATTAATATTTATCTGTAAGTTTAAGGAGGTGAGATATTCTCGAAGAGATGAGATGAGACGAGACGAGGGAGGGGGAATGAGTAGGGTATGGGGGTGGGGGGTTGGGGGATGTTTGATTATTATATATCTGGGATATATGGTAATCTTACGAGTTGCATAACTCAGAAAGTGGCTTGGAGAGGATGGAGAGGATGAACAGGATGAAGAGAATTAGCTAACGAGATTATAGGTCTCAATAGTGCAGTGCAGTGCAATGATGAAAAATTTGGCGGAAATCGGGGCATCTCGGGTTAGATTGATTTGTTATAGTCTATTACTATTCGTATATGACTACTATACTAGTAAAAGTTTACTTGATATCGATTTGTTTTACTTACTTATACTGCTAGACAGGTATGAGAGTCTGTAGACTATAGACTATGATTCGGGAACTGAAATATTGGGATGTTAGGATATTGCTTTTATTTATTATTGTGACGGAACAGACGGCTCTCTTCCGCCCACTGGCTTATACTACGTATGTAGTATGATACGACGGCTCTCTTGAACCTTCCTTTCACAGCTTAGAGCCCTAGCTCTACAGCTCTAGACCTAGACATCGTACGATGCTTATCTCTAGGACTCTTTCACTCTTCTGGGCCTAGCCCTTATGGCTCCCAATACCTGTATATATAGTCCTCCTTTTAGCACCCTACATAGCTCTTCACTTGTAGATTCTAAGTACACAATCGGAGTCCTGTTTATACCCTTTTGGTCACAATTATACTACTATATGGTATGTGGTATATATGAGTATAGCTTTTAAGTTACAAGAGAGAGTTGTGGATTTGCTGGCGATAATTATGAGTATATATATTTATAAGAATGAGTATTCCCCTGGGCTAGTATTTGTATTTATCTCTGATAGTTATTTTCCTATACTAGACTACTCGTTTTACTTTTGAGAAATTCGATATAATAATACTATATAGAAAAGACATATTATATGACTTTAAAAGCACTTATTCATAAGTAATATCTTGTACTCTCTTTAAAAAAGACTTGTTTAGAGAATATATTTTGGTTTGTTATACTCGAGTAGATCTGTCTTTCTTTGAATATATTTTCTATAGAATTACTTTACTAACAATATAGTATTCTTGCTAGAAACCGATTATATTTATAATGAGGAATAAGTATGGAGTGTGTAGAATATAAGAATAGTGAGAATGATGAGATTGATGAGACAATTACTATCTAGTTCTCGATAACTTGTATAATTTAATTGAGTTATACTCATGTAGGTTACAGGGTTGAAAGAATTACTTCGGTTGGTCTACCGAAATTATCTGGTAGATACAGGGGGTCTCACACAATTGGCTTGTCGAATTCTTGGCACAGGCCACATGGAATTTTAAGCGAATTCAGGGGAAATATGTGTACTGTCACGATCCGCTGCGAATGGCTACGCCTAGTAATATATTCTACCGATTTTATTTATAGGACGATGAGCTGGCTGATACTATATAATGTAGGATTTAAGTATTTTGGTAGGATTATTGTTCTTTATTTCGTGTCGAAAGTCAAATCCCCATTAATGGCAAAACTTCAATGATGATAAATCTCCATTGAATGTATCTGCAATTCACAAACACTAAACTATGATGATTATTATTGTACACAATATCATTTCATCCAAGTAGGAAATGCAACAGAAATAGCCAGAACAGAATAAACCAATGATAAAAAAGATAGGGCAAGGAAATGATCGTCATCGATCCGAGACAACTGGAATTGTTACATTATGAGGCAAGATATCCAAGACAACAAAGTCCTGTTTTTCTCCCTCTTGTACTGTTCTCTTCTCCCCTTTATTTCCTTTCATGTCATTTCCCTTCCCATTCGATGCAAACTTTGCAGATGTGCAATAAGACATAAAGATAAGAAACATGCGATTGCTATTCACTCGAAACAGGCAACTGTGTCGAGTACAATAAAAGACATTTTTTGGCCCATTCCCAGTAAACTCTCCTTCGCCCGTAATCAATGCATTGCTCATCCTGATTTCTACAAGCTCCTATCGATTCCCATTTGGATAACAATTCAAAGATATTCATCGCTTTCCTCTCCGGTGGCAGGGTAACAGAAGGCCAATGTTAATTATAGTCAGAGGTTGATTGGAGAGAAGAGAAAAGAACAATGATGAAGTTGCGATATGTGGATGTAATCGATGCGTTGGAAAGCAATTGGTGGACCGTGTATAGTCTAGTGGTGTGTTCTCAGTGGTATATCGCATTGGTATAGCCAAGTGGAATTGTGAAGATCTGGTCTAGTTGCACTCTGAGGGCTGAAATGAGCACAAGTTAGCGGTGGCGTAGAGCAATGGAGTATTATGGTGGGAAAAGGCACATGAGAAAGGCGTTCGAGGAAGGCGTTCGAGGAAGGCGTTCGAGGAAGACAATTGAAGGCGGCAGTCGAAGGAAAAACCCGGGGAAAATAGTCGAGGAACCTCGTAAAGAAACACAGTAAAGGAAGGATGATATAGTAACATGGTGGAAGAGCGTAGTACTATCGACCTGTCAGCATACACATTACAGATTTCCCATTCAAGAATCGCGCAGACGTAATTCTCCACGTTCTGCGTAAGAATATCAGATCAAATCAAGAGCGGATTGGATCACTCATGCGTGAGATAGTGACCATTGTATGAAACGATGGAGCTGTCTGAAGTTGTCCAAAGGATATGTATACCGCGATATTCAAAACATCAACGCCGGTAACTTAGATCATCCCACGAAATTCCAAATTTTTGAATCCGATCTTCTATTCCGTGACCGATTACTTGACACCAGAGTATTGAGCCGCATATCGATCATTTTCGATCGATCGATAGATGAGGACATCTAATAATCGGAAGTTAGCATGGAGACTTGCTGGGAAGGGAGGCTGAATATCTCCATTAGGTACATGCATTAATATCTGCCTGCAAGCCTGGTGAAGTTATGGTGTCGACCCTCCACCACTGCTACCCATAGATCTCTCCATGACAACACTACCCGTCGAAACACTTCCACTGTTCGTAGCACCGGAGCTTTGCTGCGCAGATGTAGCAGCAACCGATAATTAGAAAGTATCGCCATGACCCGCAGCAGCCTGCTGACTTGTAAAAGTACGTGGGGAACACTGGGCTATTAGTGATTACACGAGAAGAAAAGTCTTTAAGAGAACCTAGGGACTGGCGCTAGTAGTGAAAACTAAGGATACAGAGGATGAAGTATGAAATTTGAGTTTGGAATTAAGGAGTGCGATATCAAAGGAAATATTCAAACCGGGGGGGGGGCGCCTTCCATTGAGTGAGCATTGCCATCTTTTTCCATGGCTACTTTTGTTGACATCTTATGCAAGTCTGAAGGAAAGTCCCAAGGAAATCTAAGTTTCGCGCTACTGCGTCAAAACTTAGAGTACAATACTTGCTCCTCAGAGAAGGTAGTCAATCGGTAGCCAAGAATTAGATACTCAGGCTTTACATAATTCATCGTTACGATTTCAGAGATGTGTAGATTTTGCTTCAAATGAGTCTAGACATTTAAGTTGAGTGAGTTGTCCAGATATCTAAAGTTCCTAAACAAACCGAAGAAACCGGGATGGGAAAGCTCACGATAATAATAATATTATAATATATTTTCTTGACACTGGGAAGATCACAGAAAAATAGAATAACTTCTTTGTAATTATGAGGTATCATATTCTATCAAAAACTACCGCATCAAAAGTAAACAAACTTGATATACATCAAAACCGTATTATAATGATTACAAAACATCTTTTATGCTAGATATATTACTGTTCATCTCTTAATATTGATATATCTAAATAGATCTTCGACGGTAAAAAAACCTACATTCAAGTTTGGATCTCCACGAGTTACGATGAGGAGTTTACTAGTTTCTTGCTACCTCTAGCTTTGGGTTATTTGGGACCACTTGGGCAGAACATTATATGCGGACTATGCCAATCGACATATAGACGAGAATGTGCTCCAGGCACATTTTCTGCCATTTTATAGAGATTAAAAAATATCAGACCCACAATTTGGGTGGATTAGACGTATTGAACACAGTCACTGCCGCCCAAGGTTGATTGAAACCATTCCCAGTTTGCTACAACCACATTGCATAAACTCCTGGTCAGAATCAATTCATCTTGTCTCTATTGCCTAGATTGATATGCTAAGACGAGATCTAATTGCGATGCAACTATCATGTATTCTCATCCAAATGCCCTCTACATTTAATGAAAGAGCCCGGGAAACTTTAGAAAAAATAGATCCTATATGTGTAGATTGATACCATCATTCCGGTATTTTTATTTGCCGCTGATCAACTTTTGGAAATTCGTATTCACAGCCGGTACTAGCTGTTTGCGATGGGACCGTGAATACTTGTAGGAGGTGTGACAAATGGCTTCACCGGAGAGAGTTCAAGTTTTGATTCGAACTTTTGTGGAAGATTGTCTCCATAGAAGCTTTTACCATGCCTGGAGCAGCATGCAATTCCTTTCACATTAATGGATCATCCCATTCATCTCTATTTTGGGGCATATGTGTGAGATCGGTTTGTTCCGGAAAAGGAGGAGGAAATGGAGGATTGAACGACGATGGCCATGAGGGTTAACCACTGTTCATTTCGGGTCTAGTAGCTGTAATACTAAAGGTAGTAGAAGTTGTAAACATGCCATCGCTCATCTAGAACGCGTGAGATGTTGCGAAACTGCGAATCTCAATCTGCGCGGGTGTGTCTACATGCGTTTGCTGGTGAGTCCCAAACTGCTACGTTTAAAAAGCGGGCATCTGCCATCGATCATGAGCATGGCCACTTAGAATGTTGCTCTTTTGTGGTGTCCATGAGTCTCTCTCTGGAAGAAATGGTGAATGTCGCTCCTCCAAGACTTCTCTATGATGAAAGGAGAACGGGCGTAAACCAACATTTGCCTGGCTTCTTTGCTGGAGAGTGTGAATATTACGAGTATGTCGAGATGTGTTAATTTGATATAAGGAAAGAATGTAATACGGCAAGAGTAGCAAGAAACCATTGTTGGTTGACTTCCTTTTGGCGTTGTTGCATAACCATTTCACGCATCATGTCATGCTCATGTCAGTGAAAGAACCAATTGTCACCTCGTGCAAAAAGGCCACATCGAGCTTTACTAATCAACCCATTCACTCACGAATTTTCCCTACAGCCTCTCAAGTAAATCATAAACCTGGACCTTTAAAACCCCCCAAAAAGCACAGGAGAGATGCTCCAATATCATGGCAAGCACATTGAAATTGCGTTGGATGAGCCAAATTCAAGGGCGCAGTGTCTTCTTCACAAAATCACCCCCCTTACGGCGGCCGAATTTCTTTGGAGTAGCCGTTTCTTTTGTCTGAGTAGCAGTGAATTTTGGTTTGACTTCCTCTTCCTTTGGATGAATAACTCCCTTGCTGAGAAAGTCGCTGCCCTTCATCTGTGAGTAACGGATTCTCTTTACAGCTTTCTTTGTAATGGTGGCATCTTTTTGGGAAACGTCCTCTGGTTTCTTCTCTGAATTCTCCTCGGACTCCTCCTCTGACTCTTCATCATCCGTCGAAGGTGGCCCCTTTCTCATCGGACCAAAGTCTAGGCTCATCTCCATATTCTCGCCAAGGTTATTCTTCATGATTATGACATTTCTGCCTGACTCTTGGCTAGCATTGCCTATCGTCGGGCCATTATCTCCTGGCTGTAGTATAGAAGCTGGCAGAAGTTGCTTGGTGGGTCTTGTGCTGGGTTGTGCTGGGTCAGTCTTCCCGTGTTTCTATAAACAAACTAGCTTGATTCCATCTCACTTATAAATAGACCTTCGAACTCCAATAAACTTACGATCTTTCGTCGATCCTCTACCCCAAGAGATAGGTTTCGTTTTGTAGACATGACTATTATGCTTTGAACGCGATGATTTATGGTATTGTAAGATTTTATGCGGATTTGCAAGAGACTTGTGATATTCCGTGTGTATTAGAACAAAAAGATTGAGTACAAATTTGCAGAATTGTATTGTGTTCAGGCTTCAGCAAAGGAATCAAGTCAGGAAGATCTGATAGTAAATAGAACTTTCAAAGACAATTTGTTAGCCCAGAATTCACTTTACAGCCCATCCACTTATTCACTTTACAGCCTCGAATCTATAAAAAGAACCACAGCTTCCATCTCATACTATACACCACCGTGAGAGAAATCCTCAATACTGAATTAATCTCATTCGAATCTTGTCTATTGAAACACTGTGAGGTAGCTTCAATATCATGGCCTTTTTTTATAGCTATTTGGCTATGTAATTCTACATACTGGGAGAAGCATTGTCAAGTCTTAATAATGAGGATCTGGCGTTTCTCATAGCAATTGCATATGCTGGATGAAGTCCATTGTCTCTAGACAGTTATGAGGTTTGAAGATAGTTTGCCGAAAGATTCAGGGAGGATCTTCCCAATCACCAAAAATATTGGACAATACAGTATTCATATCCCCGGAAATGTCACTTCAATATTTGGGGAACGCGATTTTTTGGCAAGATGACATTTTTAAGTAAATGGGCTAGATTACATACCTCTTTCCTTTCCGCATATTTCCAGATTTATAAAAGCATGTCGCCAAAAGAGTATAGTGGAGCTACTGCGATCATTTTGAAGAGATGGGACCGAAAATTGCACATAGGATAATAAGATAGGAGGAGAAATTTTGACTTCGATTGATAGATTGAGTCATAGATATACTACTTATATCTTGTCAAACTCCACAAATACATCAAAGAGAGAGATAGATCCGTGTTATCTAAAACTCCCATCACAATATGTTAACCTCCACCTAGCTTCATTATTCATATGCGACAATATTATCCTCTCCGCTCTTCTGGTACATCCTAAAACATCACCAAAATCCACACATCGGCCAGTTCCCTATCCCAAAACTTCGATATCCAACCAAATCCACCGATCAAACCCATCATTTGGATGACATATAACTGGCACAGTGTCTCAGAGGACTAGAGAACGACACGTAACGGCCCAATGTAGGATGATGTCGAAGAGTCATATCTCCTCTTGTCGGTCGCGCACTATTTGTATTAATATTATTCACAATTAGAAATAATAACCGACCACTAGAGAGGTTTTCGAACTGGCCAGGTCCATTGTGCATGCGGCGTTTGCTTTTAGGTTTCCTGGCCATAAAACGTGTGATCCAGGTCTTGGAGAATCGATAACCCTTCATTTTTGGATTGCTTGGCGTGACTGGCTTAGGGGAACGACCGTGAAGATCGTTCTCCTGGTCTTGAAGGGCTTGCAAGGGGTCTTTGAATAAGTGTTCTCCAAACAATGGTTCATCCTCTTCTGGTTCTCTCTCCACCAAAGTATCTGGATTATCATTCGTCTCTTCTTGAGAGATCATGTCGTACAAAAAGTAATCATCTTCGTTCAGCTCATCGTCGGAATCATAATACTCCTCATTCTCGTCCTCGTATTCTTCAGAAGTTTCTAAGAACTCGACTTTCAGCTCAAACTCTTGATCGTTCTCCCTCAGTCCTTCCATTGTCCCTTTTTTGTCAGCGTCGTTATCGTTATCATTCCCCTCAGTACTGTCAAGGGCTTGTTTGAGGGCATTCTGGAGAGCGTCAAAGTCAAATTTACGGCGCCCCGCTAGATCTTCTCCCCATACTTCGAGAATTCTTAACGACTGAGATGAGTCTGGCCCAGTAGTTGGTCTTGATGATTCTGATACCTCTGGCCGATGTGTTGGAGACGGTGGTGAGAAAGGCATAGAGGTAAGAAAATTTCTCGGTGATCTTGGTCTATCGATCTGATGACGAATTAATGTCCGATTTCTCTTACATGGAGTATGATGTTCATTTACCGGACTAGACGCCTCTGATGCATAACACTCTCCCCTCGTCTCAGATCCTTCCTCTTCGCTAAGTTGATTGAGTTTTTCGATCGCTTTCTGTTTCCGATTGCCTTGATTTCCGGACATACTGGTTAGGTTTAACGATCCAGAGTCTAACTTTGCTTTGGATGGCCTGGCCTGGAAGTTTGCAAGAGGAAAGAAAGTGACACAGCGTTGTGAGTTTGACAATATCTGTTGGTGCACAAAACCAATAAATCTTTAGATAGTGGAAACTGAATCAGTTACAGAACGTTGTGATGAATCTTATGGAGAAAATGATGTTAGATGGAAGATGGTTGGCCAGGCAATATAAAGTATAGACTACTGTTACTCCCTGTACGTTTCAATCTAGCTTCTACGGCAGTCAGCTACCGTATGATGAGCGATGGCGTCAGATTCAGGCATCCTTCATAATCCAAACATCTACCGTACCTCATTTACAGC